CGTTCTCCTGCCTCAGCCTCCCGAGTAGCTGGGACTACAGGCGCCCGCCACCTCGCCCGGCTAATTTTTTGTGTTTTTAGTAGAGACAGGGTTTCACGGTGTTAGCCAGGATGGTCTCGATCTCCTGACCTCATAATCCGCCCGCCTCGGCCTCCCAAAGTGCTGGGATTACAGGCTTGAGCCACCGCGCCCGGCCATGTTCTCTTCTTAATAGGACAGCAGTTATCGGACTAGATAGGGCCCACTCTAATCCACTGTGAGCTCCCCTTACGTTGATCTCATCTGCAAAGACCCTCTTTCCAAGCAAGGTCCCATTCTGGGTTTTAGGTCGACCTGAATTTTGTCAACCCTGTAGAGCTGAGAACAGAGCGGTCAAGGGTGGGAGAAGAGATCAACCTGAGGATCAAGCTTGGGCACAGAGCTTTGAGAGAAGTGTGATCAGGGTTAGGGTCTGAGCAATGTTGGTCTTCTCCCTTGGAGGAGAATTTTCCCTTCTTCCTTCTGCTCTTCAGCCAGGGCTGCGGCCATCTCCTCTCTCAGCTCCTTTCTGCTGCCTCCAAGGAATTAAAGGTTGGAAGCATGGGCTCTGCACTTCCGGACCCTGCAGGTCCAGAGCCTGGTTCTCCTGTTAGCTGTGTGGCCTTGGGGACGTATGCCACTTCTCCCTACTCCAATTTCTCTGGGGAAATGGGAGAACAGTAGTACCTGGTTTATGCAGCTGTTCTGCAACTGAGTGAGACAATGTTTGTAACGTGCTTGGCTAAAAGGAGTGAAGTTCAGGTTCAGGCAGTTTGCCTATGTTAAAATTGGCTTGGCTGTGTTTTTAGAGATTTGGCTCACTTTATGCTAAGGTCAGTGTGATATTCTGGCCTTCTCTTGATTATCCTGTTCCCCACTTACCACATGAGGCTTCAGTTTTCTTTGCAGTTCTTTTTGTTGTCAGAATTGAGATCACTCAGGGGTACACAGACAGAGTATTTTGTTTAGAAGTTACTGAGGTAATCATTTTCTGTGTGGTTACAGCATCAAATTGATATAATTTAGATTTTAAAATTTGTGTTAAATTTTAGAATTTCTGTTCTCATTTCTTTTTTTTTAGGTGGAGTCTCACTCTGTCACCCAGGCTGGAGTGCAGTGGCCGGATCTCAGCTCACTGCAAGCTCCGCCTCCCGGGTTTACGCCATTCTCCTGCCTCAGCCTCTGGAGTAGCTGGGACTACAGGTGCCCGCCACCACGCTCGCTAATTTTTTGTATTTTTTTTTTTTAGTAGAGACGGGGTTTCACCGTGTTAGCCAGGATGGTCTCGATCTCCTGACCTCGTGATCCGCCTGCCTCGGCCTCCCAAAGTGCAGGGATTACAGGCGTGAGCCACCGCGCCCTGCCTCTGTTCTCCTTTCTTAATAGAAGATATTGGTGATGTAAAGACTTACGTAAGTAAAAAGTTACAACTACAGTTGTACTTGGAGTCATCTTGCTCCCATCTGGATCCTCTTAACCTGCTCCTCAGTGAGCCCTATGGAGAACCATATTCATTGGCTTCTGATTTGTCCTTGCCATTTTTATTGTGGAAAGAGGCAAATATGTGTTTCTTGTAGATTCTGATTTCCCTTTTTTTCTCACACAGTAGGTAGTGCAGTCTCTCCAGTGCTCTGAATCTTGCTTTTATCACTTATGCACAATGGGTGGCAAATATATTCCTGATTTTTTATTGTTGCATACATTGTATGGATGGACTATAGTTTATCTGATCAGTCCCCTATGGATGGGCATTGGGCTGACTCTAATCAATCATCATGTTGCTGCTATCTGCTAGTTCTCTTCTTAACTTTTTTTTGATATAATTGTGGATTCATAGGTAGTTGCAAAAGTAGTAGAGGGACAACCAGGGCATTGGCATTGGTTGACTATTATTAGACAATGGACCTTGTTAGACTACGGACTTTATGCAGCTTTCAGTGTTTATGTGCACTGTGTGTGTGTGTGTGTGTGTGTGTGTGTGTGTATTCTGTGCAAGGTGATCTCATGTGTAGTATCTTGTAACCATCTCCACCCCTGCCATTGCCATAGAACTGTTTCCTCACTGAGTGGAACTCACCTCCCTTGTCATTCCTCTTTGGAATCACATCCCCACACATTGCCCCTGTGTCCCTGGCAGCCGCAAATCCGTTCTCTATTCTCCGTCTCTAGTTTTGTCATATGGAGGATGTTATGTACATAGAACTGCGTAGTGTGTAACCTTTTAAAAGACTGGCCTTTTCCACCAAACTTCCTTCTCTCATGATCCTCCAGGTTGTGGCCTGTATCAGTGGTTGATTTCTTTTTACTCCTGGGTGGTATTCTCTTGCATGGATATCCTAGAGTTTGTTGACTCCTTCACCATTAAAAGATATTTGGGTGGTTTCCACTGTGAGGCTATTCTGAATAAAGCTCTTAGGAACATGCATGTACAGGTTTTTGTGAACCTGAATTTTCATTCTTTGGCTTAAATGCCAAATAATGCAATTACTGAATCACATGGGAAGTACATGTTTGGTTTCTTAAGAAACTGCCAAAATTCTTCTCTAAAGTGGCTGTACCATTTTTCAGTCACACCGGCGATGTATGAGATGTTCAGTTTTCTTGCATTCCTGCTAGCACTTGGTGTTATTTTTTATCTTACCCATTCTAACTGGCATAGTGAGAGCTCATTGTGGTTTCAATGTGCATTTCTTTAATGACCAATGGTGCTGACCATATTTACATGTGCACATTTGCTGTTCAGCTACTTTGTTTGGTGAAATGTCTGTCCGTGTCTTTTGTCTGATTTCTCATGGGGTTCTAAAAAAATGTGCTGAGTTTTGAGAGTTCTTCATAGATTCCAGATACAAGTCCTTTGTCAGATATGTGGTTGTGGTTATTTTCACTCGGTCTGTAGTGTCTTTTCATCCTCTTAATAAGATCCTTACAGAACAAAAGGCCTCCATTTTCATGAAGTCCACTTTATCACTTTTTATTTCTATGAATTGTTATTTTGGTGTCATCTCTAAGAACTAGGTGTTAGCTATTTCCATGTTTTTACTTACTCACTAGAGTCTTCTTTTTACATTAGGGGAAAAGCTGGTGCTTCTGCTACTCTTCCTACCCTGTTCCTGAGCAGAAAGCACTGGACCCCCAGAAGCCGCATGCTGTGCTGGCCTGGATGCTGCTCTCCCCATAATCCCCAAGGTGAGGGGCCTGGTGCCCCCTCCCACCACCTCCAGCTACACTTTCCTTTCTTAAAAAAACCTAAAAGGCTAGTCCTTCTTCACTCCGAAGTTCTTTCAGGAAGGCTTCTGAAATAGTATGTCTCAAACTTCTGTGAATTCCACCCACAGTCAAAAAGACGTTTCATAAGGGGACCCTCTAGATACTCACATCTTCACCCACAGTCATAAGACGTTTCACAGGGAGACTTTCTAGATACTCACATCTTTTTTTCCTTCTTTCTTTTTTTTTTTGAGACGGAGTCTGGCTCTGTCGCCCAGGCTGGAGTGCAGTGGCCGGATCTCTGCTCGCTGCAAGCTCCGCCTCCCGGGTTTACGCCATTCTCCTGCCTCAGCCTCCCGAGTAGCTGGGACTGCAGGCGCCCGCCACCTCGCCCGGCTAGTTTTTTTGTATTTTTTAGTAGAGATGGGGTTTCACCGTGTTAGCCAGGATGGTCTCGATCTCCTGACCTCATGGTCCGCCCATCTCAGCCTCCCAAAGTGCTGGGATTACAGGCTTGAGCTACCACGCCCGGCTGATACTCACATCTTTACCCACAGTCATAAAGACGTTTCGTAAGGAGACCCTCTAGATACTCACATTTTTGGCAATTTAGCAACTGTTTCACGCACAGCACTTACCTTTGTGACATGTGATGCACCCTGATAGTTTTCACTGTGCTATGCTACGCTGGACTATTCTTTTAAGAGTCAGTCATAGCTGACCAAATGGATATCACCACCTTTTAATGGATCTGCATCTGCAGCTAAAATGCTCCAAAAATTCCAGAAGGACAAAAAAGTCTCAGGCCTGGCTTTGCCGCCAGTGCCCTCTTCTGGGCAGCTTTATTATAAGCCGTGTCTTGAAACACTTGTGTGATTGCCAATAGATGTATATGTGCACTGAGTCTCACCAGAAAATATACTTATGTCTGTTGGTTATAACAAAAGTTTAAGAAACTATGTTTAGAAGTTTTCCTAGTCAGGAAAGGCCATACTGAAAAGGGCATTGTGTGTGTGTGTGTGTGTGTGTGTGTGTGTGTGGCGGGGTGGGGGGGGCTCCCATTCCTCTAAGACGATGACAGAGGCTGTGCAGGTGTTTTCTATGTGATCTCCTCTCCTCCTGCAAATTACTCCCAGAGGAGAGATCTCAGTGACCTGCCTCCACCTCCCCAGACATGTTCCCACATTTGGGTCAGCCTGAGCAGAGGGCAGAGCTCACATCTCTGTGTGTAGAGCAGGCTGAGCTCACTGCAGGCCTCCGTGCCATCATTCATCTTCACTTCACAGGTCTCGTCCTGTGACGTCTCCTCCTGACCCACCATGGCTGCCTGACTTTCCTGGGAGTGGCACCTACAATGTTCAAGATAGAGAAAAACATCAAGACCAGCCAGTCCTTCTCCCCTTCCCTCAGCAAGTAAAGCATCACGCATGCACATATCCGTACACACACAAACACATGCACACACAAGCACATACGCACACACACAGTGCACACGCACGTGAACATGCATGCAATTGCTGTGGGCTCATACTCTTGTGATAGCCATTGAAGTGTTAAGATTAGAGTGAGGGTTCCATGTGAGAGGGCATCTGGTGTAGATCCAAGGAGATCTGAGTCCTGACCCTAATTCACTTACCATCTGGTCCAAGTCACTTAGCCCAACACATGCCTCAGTTTCCCTTTCTGTGAAATTGGAGTGACATGTGCCCTGCCTGACTCAGAGGCTTGTTGTGAGTCACAAATAAAGCAACAGATGAGACGGTGCTCTGAGGGTGGAAAGAGCCAGCTTTGACGGAGGGTCCCGAGTCCATAAAGGGTGGGCCCGTGAAGAGGCTGCTCCCCACCAACCCACAGCTATGATAGCTGGGCCTTTGGCATTTGTTTGGCCATAGCTGAGGTGTCCCTGGCATCCTACTTCGATGGTGCCCTTGATTCTGACACTGGATCCCTGGAGTAAAGACACAGAGAGGAAGCCTCACCTAGAGGGATTTGCTCTCCTGAGCAGAGGGCAATGAACCTGAGTCCCTGCTGAGCCTGAATCCCTCCTGAGCTCCAGACCCTCCCACACCAGGACGTGGCTTTCCCTGCTGGGGCAGGGTCTTCTGCTCACTGGGTCATGTCTTCTTTAGCTCTGGACCAAAGCCTCTTTTCCTGTCTGAGCTCAGCTCAGTGCCTCCCTCCATCTTTATCCTCAGACCCCAGAGGGCGTCAGCATTGGGAAAAGATCCCAGTTCATCCTTTCAGAGCTGAGCACTAGTCAGTGCCCTGGCTCTGAGCATCTCAGGCAGGGTAGGGGCAGTTCTCTCTCAGGGAGGCCTACAGATCGCCACCCGCCCCGCAGAGGGAAGGAAAGATGAGAGGCGGGAGCTCCAGGAGGATTGGGAGGGGAGGGAGGTGGAGTGGGCTTTGGCGAGGCACGTGGGGAGGGGCTGGAGACGCAGAGCAGCAGCAGGCAGGCAACAGCACTTCTGGGGGCCACCGGGCACAGGACATGCTGGTCCATCCTCAGCGCAAACAATACTGGCACTAGAACTGCCCTTAGCCTTTAGCTGCAACACAGAGGACAAAGCCCAGGAGCTGGAACGTGGGCTATGCTTTCCTTCACCAAGCTGAAGCTTGGCTCATTGTGTTGCCTGTACCATCTGCAGTGGGCAGAGGGAACCGACATTTCATGAGCACTGACTGTGTGCTGGGCACTGTGCCAGGTGCTTTGCATGTATTTTGCTATGTGGAGAGATGTATCTGTGGGACAAGGAAATTCCCTGGGGTCTTCTCCCCCAGCTCCTCTAAACATCCCTCTTCCCTTATGTCACAGAGAACAAAGCTTCACATGAAAATGCCCTTAGAGGGCGGGGATTTAATTGACCCTGAGATGCTAAAGACGGACATGGGGCCCTCCTTAAGCAGAGGCTTCATGAGGCCAGAGGGGAGAAAGGGGTGTGGGGGCTCAGCACATCCTCAAATTTGGCTAATTAAACCTGGAATTGATTGAGACATGTCTCAGTCACTCTTCTTAACAAGGTCAACTGAGGCACAAGCACCAAAGTCCACCTTTTGTGCCCACTTTTAAATAACAAAGGAAATTACAAAATATTTTGCAGTGAATGAAAATGAAAACAAAACTTGTGAGCTACAGCTAAAGCAGTGCCTGGTGGGAACTTTACAGCTCTTAGTGTTTAAATTAATAAAGAAGAAAAGTCTAAAATTAATACTCTAAGCTTCCACCTTAGGAAGCTAGTAAAAGAGAAGCAAATGGGAACAAAACTGGGTAGAAGAAAGGAAGCAGTTAAGAGTAGAAATCAATGATATAGAAAATGCACAAACAAGGAGAAAAATGACACCAAAAAGTGGTTCTTTGAAAATATCATAAAGAGGGATAAATCTCTAGCCACACGGATTTTTAAAAAATATACAAATTACTGGCTGGGTGCAGTGGCTCACACCTGTAATCCCAGCACTCTGGGAGGCCGAGGTGGGTAGATCACCTGAGGTTGGGAGTTTGAGACCAGCCTGACCAACATAGAGACACCCTGTCTCTACTAAAAATACAAAATTAGCTGGGTGTGGTGGCACATGCCTGTAATCCCAGCTACTCGGGAGGCTCAGGCAGGAGAATCGCTTGAACTCAAGAGGCGGAGGTTGCGGTGAGCCGAGATGGTGCCATTGCTCTCCAGCCTGGGCAACAAGAGCAAAAACTCTGTCTCAAAAAAAAAAAAAAAAAAAAAAGTGTATCTATCTATCTATCTATCTATCTATCTATCATCTATCTATCTATC